GGTTGCAGGCTCAATCCCCAGTAGGGGGCATGCAGGAGGCAGCTGATCAATGATTCTCTCTCATTATTGATGTTTCTATCTCTCTCTCCCTCTCCCTTCCTCTCTGAAATCAATAAAAAAATATATATTTTAAAAAGGGTCACTCTGGCTACTGGGAAGAGAATAGACTGGGTGGTGGGGAGGTGACAGAACAAGGGAGGCTACTGTAGTCATCAAGGCAAGAGCGGTTAGTGGCTCAGACCAACATGGTGGCAGTAAAGGTGGTGGAGGTGGGCGGGTCATAGGTCTGTTTTGAAGCTAGAGCCAACACCATGTCCTGATGGACTGGCTGTGTGGTGTGAGGAAGAGGGGGAGGGGTCATAGAACTTCTGGGCCATTGTAGGGATGGAATTTCCGTTTTCTGAAACAGGGGAGGCTGAGGGCACACAGCTTTGCAGGAAATGATCAGAAATTTGATTTTAGAGATGAAAGTTTGAGATGTCTCTTAGTTATCCAAGTGGAATTGCTGAAGAGGTAGTTGAACAAATAAGCATAGAGTTCCAGAGAGAGGCCTAAGCTGGAAATAAAAAGTCAGGCATCATAGGTATAACGATGTTATTAAAATTGTGATCCCAGAAGAAAACAGTAAGAGACTGAGTGTAGGAGGAGGGACGGGGACAAGGACTGAGCCCTGAGGCACACAGCGCTGAGGGCTGGGGAGAAGAGGAAACTGCGAAGGAAGGGCCTAAGAAAGCAAGTGTGTCAGGCAGGACGCGCTCAGTGCTCTGAGGGGTCCCGTAAGGTGGGGCTGAGACCGTCGCACCCAGGAGCCCTGAGGGTCGTTGGGGCCTCACAAGGGCAGTTTCAGAGGAGCAGCGGGCCGGTCACCTCATTGGAATGAGTTTATAGCGAATGGGAGGAGAGTTGGAGAAGCAAGTGTACACATGCCCCATGAGTTCCGTCGCAAAGATGAGCAAGAAAACAGCAGTAGCTGACTAGGGAGGAAGAATCAAGAGAAGGATTTGTGTTTTAGCTTTGAAGATGGGAGACATAGCAGCAAACTTGCATGCCATTGGAGATGATCTAGTATAGAGGGAAAGTTTATATTGTGAGAGAGAAGAGGAGGGG